GGAAAGAGAAGAGTCACAGCTGAGCAGGAGCATGGAGCTGGGGCTGGCAGCAGCATGGAGCCTATGCCCAAAGGAGCGATGGGAGGACAGAGCTTGGGTGGGCAGGTTGTAGGTGTGAGGGAGAGTGGTGGGGGGATTGGGGACCCCCCAACACACCCCCCACATGGAGCACCTCACTGAAGGCAGCAGCAACAGCAGGTGGTGGGCACTCGGGGTACCAATGCCCTGTGCAGGCACTGCCTCCCAGTGGTGCATAGCTTCAACCAGCACTGCATGTGGCGGCAAACAGTGCAGCCAGGCCAGCCTGCCTCTATCACATGGATCTCCTCATGGTGCACATGCAGCTCTATGCCACTGGAGGAACCCCTGCAAAATGGGGCCAGATGTCTTCACCACCCACTTCTGTGCAGATCCCCAGGACTCTGCTGGAAGTGGAGGGCAGGGAGGCAGTCAAGTCCATCGCAAGGGGCTTCCCCCAGTAGTGTGGAGCTGCACATTCACCATGAGGACCCCTGCACATTAGAGGCAGGCTAGCATGGCTGTCCTCCTTGCTACCATGTGCAGCACTGGCTGGAGCCACATGCCACTGAGTGGCAGCACCTGCATAGGGCAAAAGCACCCCGAGTGCCTACCACCTTCTGTTGCCCCCTGTGGGGGGAGTGTATGGGGGTCCCCACACCTCCCCTCCCTCACACCCCACAAATGCCATACACCCACATCCAGCCCCTACAACCCCCTATACACACACCCAACATATCCTACTGCCCCATACACATAGCCACACTCCCTCACAACCCCCCACACCCCACCCATGCCCCCACATACAATATACAAAAGACTTTATTTTCAGTTATTATGCAGTCACCTCTGTATACAGTACACAAACACAAGTCGTGACAAATATTTTTTGCAATAAAATTAAGATATATGTTATAATAGGTGTTTGACTTTTAATATATGATTTTTCCCCGCCCTGGTTTCAAGATGGCAACCCTCTCTCTCCCAAAAGGAGTACTTCTAGAGGGCAAGAGGAGGGACTTCTGGTGGCAAAGATCAGGGGCTAGGGGCAGGACTTCCAGCGCCAAGATGGCAACCAGGGAGCAGGGCATCTGTCAAGGCATGGGGCTACCTTGGCAGCCCTTTTCAGCTCACCAAAACTCCTTAAGTGGCCCTCCAGCTGAAATAATTGCCTGCCACTGCCATAAGGTGTGACTGCTCCAAACTCAAAATAGCACTTACATAATCAACATTTTTGCAGTGTGTAACAGGGCCCCAATACTGTATTAAGGAGTTAGTCAATGGGAATGACCTAACTACATGCATAGTTCAAGCAAACAGGTTTTATGCCATTTTGTCCTCATAATAAAGTCAAGTCAGAAATATTATACACAAGATAGGAAAGAGCTGCTTTCTTTTTTTACTCGCATATTAAAAATGTCCAACTTCTTAAATGCATCTGCAGTATCTTGTACTTGCCGCAGTCACTAGAGCCATGTGTGATAGAAGCAATTTCAGCTCATTGGTGGGGTTTAGATAACTGTTAGTTTGCTTTAATCCAAATAGGTTTGTACATCCAGGAGTTCTGTTCAAATTTGAATTAGAGTGGGATTAGAATGATAAATCAAACCTCAACCTAAACGCTACATTTAAAGTAAATTTAGGCAGAACTCTGATAAATTCTCCATGTTTCCTTAAGAAAACTGTATATCTGGAAACTTTTTTCTAGATCTTAATTTTTCTGTAATCAGCTCACTCAGATCGCCTTTATTTTACATTGTCTTTTGATAGTGCATGTTGTTCTGCAAATCTTCCTCACCTCCCAAAAAGCAGAGTGAGTCAGGTAGGCTCCCTCTCCAGTTTGCTGCCTGACTGCCACAGTGCATGGGAAATACAAGGATTTCTCTTATCTGCTGCCTCCTGAGGGGCTAACTTCTTGCATCCCTCTCCCCCCCACCCCCCACTCCATCTCTTGTGTCTCTGTGCAACAGTCACCATAATATGTCCCGCAATTTTTGCTCATGCTGATTAAGATGATACCGAAGTGCACCACAACTATATGAGAATCTAATAATTCTATAGCCTGGGGCTTGCTCTTACTCTGGTATAGTCCAAGTACAATACCATTTCTTTGCAATACTAGCACTGTAATTGTATGAAGCACACAAATCAGTAATTCCTTTTCAGTGACTATCTCAGTTACTTCTAATTTCTGAATTCAACTCTCCCCATATATTAGGTACTAAAAAAAAAAGAGAAGTTGTAAGTCAGCATGAAATGGCTGCAGTGAACATTTACTGTAAGCTGTCTGTGTAGCAGTAGATGAATGCAAACTCTTGGAATTAATCAACTAGGGCATGACCTTGCTGAAACATTTATGAAAAAAGAGTTACAAACCTTACTAACACACTCTCTTCTCACTTCTGTATCTTTCTTTCTGAGATGCAGAGGCTGGTCTTCACTAGCCCCAGTTCCTACATTGCTCTTGGGAACAAAAAGGACAAGAAACACTACAGATATATTTGATTATGTGAACTGTATAAGTCACTCTGTATCATTAGATCCTAATAAGTGCAATAATCTTCACAATAGTCAGTGAGCAGAATCAGATTTTTACAGAGATCTCTCACTCGAAACATGTTGTGTAAACCTTGATTTCCCCTCCAGGGACCATACTTACACACTGACAGTCTTCATTACAGTCAGTGTAAAGGCAAAAGAAGTAGCTATTGAAGTTTTCTATGCTGGTTACCAGTAAGAACATCACAAAAGAACAACATCTCCATTTTCTTGCCTCATTTTTTTTCCCACAGAGCTGTGCTCAGGAGGCCTAGGAGCTAGTTAGTATTCCTATTAAGCAAAATCTTTAATTTTCCAGATAGCTTAGAGAACATGTGGTAGTAATAATAATGGTAGGTCCCAGATATTTCAGGATGTGATACCTGGCATTTTTCCAAGAAGCAGGTCTGTTTTAGAACTTTGGAAACAGTGAGGGCATTCGAGAAGAGGAAATCTAGAAAATTACCTGGGACTGTGGGCTCATGAGCTGGTTCAGTTTAGATTAAATGGAAAGATAAACAGTAGGTTTATAGCTAAGGCGCTCAGTTTCAAAAGGGAAGCTATGAGAACTTATGAAAACTAAGTAGTGAAATCAGCTGGACTGAAAAGCTTAGAGGACTTAAATGTGGAAGAGGCAAGGAATTCCTTTGAGATGAAACATAGTATTTCAAACTTGAATCACAAACAAAGGGACAAGCTTGGAGGGAAAGACTTTAGACTTAACTGGATAAATAATCACCTGAAATAACTATATTAGGAGTAATCAGGGAATCTACAAGGATTGGGGGGGGGGGGAGGATCAGCAAAGAAAGATACATTTCATAGGTCAAAAAAGTGAACATAAGTGAGAACTGTCAAAAATCAAACCTGAATTAGGCCTTGCAAAGTTCATTAACATACATATTAAGTTTTGTTAGCCAAATAAAGAAAAAGAGAACATATTTTAAAAGGTGGGACAATATGCAATGAGGAATGTAGTTGATATTAAATATAATTCAGACAATATACAGGGTTTTCCTCAGGTCTCACTAAAGACAATGATATCTAACCTAGATGCAAAGTTAGAATGGATAATGGGAATAAGGGTATGGATATGAAAATTACTGTCTGAAGTGGAAGCAAAATTCAAAGAGCTTAATGTCTTTGGTTAACAATCACTTGGTTGAGTTCACTATCCAGCAAAGGGTGGGTAAAGTAACTAGTGGGGCCAAGGTGTTGGACTTCAGAAGGGCCAACTTTAGCAAGCTTAGAAGGTTAGTTAGTGAGGGGATACAACTCAAGTATATAGAGCGAATGAGGGTTGGAGGTATCTCAAGGGGGTGATCCTTGGGGCTCAAAAGGAGTCTATCCCATTACATAGGAAGGGAGGTAAGGGGGCAAAAAGTCCCCTTGGCTGAACAGGGAACTCCAGGAGAGTCTGGGGGCAAAGAAAGAGATGTATAGGCAATGGAAGCAGGGAGCAGCCACCAAGGAGGAATATATCTCCCTGGTGCGCTATTGCAGGGAATTAGTTAGACAGGCCAAGGAGGGGCTTGAGCTCAGGCTGGCTTCAACAATCAAGGACAATAAAAAGTCCTTCTTCAGGCAAAAGGAAAGCTCAGAGCAACATAGGGCCCCTGCAGGACAAATCAGGACAGTTAGTGGTTGACGCGGGGAAAAAAAGCAGAGCTCTTCAATGAGTTCCTCACTTCAGTATTTCTAAGTACCGACCAAGCCAATTCCCCCACCTTGATCATTGATGGATGTCCACATGGCACCAGTCTGCCTATGGTTAGTTCTGAAATAGTTAAGGAGCTCCTGGAGGAGCTGGATGGGTACAAGTCAGCAGGCCCAGATAACCTCCATCCATGGCTGCTGAAAGAATTGGCCAGTGTCATAGCTGAGCCACTGGCACAGCTGTTCGAGCACTC